CGGCTGTAGCTTCCACCAGAGACCTCTGGTGCTGGGAAGTAGCTGGCTTTCCCAGACGGTGGGCATGAGCAGCTGCCATCCCAGATCCAGGATACCTGGGACCAGGGTAACCTGATTCTTACTAATTATGTGTCCAGCGGAGCACCCAGGCCCTGGGACATCTCTCAGGATAAGAAGACAGGGCCAGTTCCTTCTCTTTTCTTGACCAAGTGTTGACTTTCTTCAGGAAAGCAAATACTTCAGCCTAAGCCATCTGAGCCCTTTTGCACAACAGGTAGTGACTGCTGCCATGTTAAGTGTTGACTCTGACTGGACTCACCTGGAACAAGACAAGTCCTGGGACTTGCTGAGTTCAGGCACAGAGGTGGATGTTTACAGTGACTAAACCTTGGTTTTCTCCTTGGAATAGTAGTTGTTGGGTGCCATCAACGGAAAACCTTACAAATAGCAGAGAAGAGCCCATCACCATCACCACCGTGTCAATCCATCTCATTTAGGGCCTTCCCCTCTTTCATCGACCCTCCACCTTACCAGGCATGACATCCTTTTCCAGGGAATGGTCCCTTCTGACAACATGACCAAAGTAGGTTAGATGAAGTCTGGCAATGAAGTCCACGTGTATAGCTGTTGCTTGTGTTGTTGAAAAAAGATATTTGCAGTGAATAAGTTGTTGGTCTTGCAGAATTCTGTCATGTGATCTCCAGCATTATTTTAGTCACCAAAGCCAAATTTTCCAACTACTAGTGATTCTTCTTTGTTTCCAATTTTTGCATTCTGATCACCAGTGATAATTAACACATTTTGATTACACGTTTGGTCAATTTCAGAATGCAGAAGTTGATAAAAATCTTCAATTTCCTCATCTTTAGCTTTGGTGGTTGGTACGTAAATTTGAATAATCATAGTATTAATGGGTCTTCCTTGTAGGCATATGGATGTTATCCTATCACTGACAGCATTGCATTTCAGGACTGATCTTGAAACATCCTTTGTGATGTTGAATGCCACACCATTCTTCTTCAAATTGTCATTCCCAGCATAGTAGATCATATGGTTGTCTGATTCAAAATGTCCAAAACTAGTCCACTTCAGCTCACTAATGCCTAGGATATCAATCTTTATGCATTCCATTTCATTTTTGACAACTTCCAATTTTCCTAGA